GAACAGGACTGTGAATAACGCCCTGTTTCACCAGTACTGAGGATCCACCAGTAGCTTTATCTCCCGGAGGAGAAAAATGATGATATGAGCTGTACTGGCGTAAATCAAATTTATCTGTTGTTTTAAGGAACGTTTCTTGTAAACAACATGCTGATGGTGTGTAATCTTGAATTAATAATTGCAGATCATTGAAATTGGTCTGAAGTCCTCTACAGTTCCATTGTATGATGTGACTAGCACTCATGGTGGGTTAACGGGTGATCGTGAACGTGAAGGAGGAGGGCTCCTTTTGTTTTGAAATGGAGTAGTAACCTCCATTTCCAGTGGTTCAAAAGAATTAAAAACATCTACAGGTGGTTGCGAAGAAGGTGGTACCTCCAAATGTTGAAGTGTCTTTGTCTTTTTTTTCTTCTGTTTTTTGTCTTTTCTTGTTTGCTGAGTAACAAGTTTATCAGTTTCAGAAAGTTCTTGAGATTCTGGCTCTGATATCTTTGAGAATGGACTTTCTGTTTGAGAGGCTGAAGTAATTGTCTTGTGAGTTGTTGGGGTACTTTCTCTGATGGATATTTGTTTTTCATGAACCCAAGAAATTTCAGTCTGGCACAATGTAGACACTGTAATGACCTTCTTTGCAGGAACAGGAGAAGATGCTACAGCAGAAAAGGTTAAAGTGGTGGGTTTGGAAAATGGATCTGGAACCAACTTTTTTGCTTCAAAATAGGAAAGATTGTTTGTGCATTTCACTTTCAAAATTTGCGACTGATAAACAAAGAAAGGACACGACCTTGACGGTGCCAAATGCTCACCATCACAGTTTGCACACTTTATTGCATTGTTGCAATCAGAACTGTCGTGAGCACCACTGCAGCGAGAGCATATCATATTGTGAGTACAAGTCTTGGCACCATGACCAAACTTTTGGCAATTGTAACACCGGAGAGGATTTGGCACATCAGCATTCACTCCAATGTTAAAATATCCGGCTTTTATTGATTTTGGAATAGTTGGCAGGGCAAACGTGAAAAGATAAGTGTTTGTTTTTATTACAGTGTCATTTTGTTTCCTTGTGAATCGCTTAACAGCAATTACTCCTTGGTTTTGTAATTCGGCAAGAATTTCTTCCTCGCTCATGTCTGAGAGACAACGAGCACGGTGTCGAATTATTCCACGGTAGGAGTTTAGTGTACTGTGTACTGAGACAACAACCGGGACATTTACAAACTGCTTTAATCCAAGCAGATTGACGGACTGTTGTTTTCTTACACATTCGACAAGAAGAGAGCCAGAGCGAAGTCGAGTAACGTTTTTAAGTTCTCCACAGGCACCTTTGATACCCATGGATATTGCAAACGGATTCAACTTGAGCGGAGTACCATCAGAAGATGAAATGACAATAAATCTCGGCCAGTAATCGTTCAGTTCAGGTGCACTTTCTTCATCAGACGATACAGAATCGACATGACGACGTTTGTTTTTCGACGAACCAGAGAGTTGAGTGAGAGACATGGTGATATAATATTTTTCAGCAAACTTGCTCCCCACCCGCCATCGAGTGTCAACAGAGGACGATGTTGCAGAGGAACCCAGTCTGCATCATCAGGGCTACAAGTTTGCTATACTCCAGCAAATGTAACACGAATAGCTATATTTGTCTACCAAAGTGACTGTCCAGCTGGTTCTGCACATAACAGAAATTTGGAGACATATAGAATTCGGAGGTTGACATTAACCAGATTGGCCCATGAGCCACCGCCTTCTGACGTAGGACTCTAGGCAAAACCGTTGAAATATTTCGAAAATGTTAAGCCCAAAACACACAAAAATACGATATTATACTCCAAATATGGAAATGTCCAACACAGGGCTTGACATGACCAGCCGATTGATAGAACCGGGCCAGTTCTACCACCCGTCTAGGTGAAGTAAGGGTCAAAGTGGTGTGTTGGGCAAAAGGAACACGGTTCCAGGAACCTATTGCCCACAACCACCAGAATCCCGTCCTCCACCGACACAGGGGCGCAACCCACGGCAAACAGGTTGGTGGACCTAAGATACACCCGGGTCCACAACAGGGGGTTGAAGGGCGCTTAGCGTTACCCAGCACCGACCACAAGGAGGTGGCCCTTCATGGGTGCCCAGTCTCTCTGGTGACGTTGGGCCCACAGCAGATGTTGACGTTGATGAAACGGCGTCAATATTGGCCCACGATATGGACGTCGAGAATGGAGACTGGCAGTCCGCAACCGATTTTGAATGGTCTGTGAGGACACTCGACCTCTAAACATCTCAGCCACGTAGGTGACGTAGGACGATTTGACAGTCTTCTGCTCGTGACGTCACACGTGGAAGACCCGACCTTGGGCGATCAGAAGTGGTGCCAGTTTGTTGTAGACGACCTCGCAAGTCATACACAGTACGGCGGCTGCATCCCATTGCTCTTGCGACGTCAATAACTGATCTTCCCGCTTGCAACATGCCAACGGCATGTTCACGTTGCACATTTGACAATCGTGGCATTTCAAGTACCGTTAGAACTGTGGTTTAAAAGTGTTTTTTCAATTCTTGAGGCCAATGCAAACACGTACATATGAAGAAAACTTCGATGCGAAGATCACGTGATCGACTGCACGTGCAAAACCTGATTTGGCACTAACGTCATTTGCACGACGAATGGATGGGTTTGAGTGGGTTTTGCTAAGGTTTTTCTAGAGTCGAAAGATAGGGATCCCATTTCGGATACATAGATGTATCATCAGAGAAAAATTATTCATTATTTTTCAAATTACATTTTGTGAAGTTTCTTTTTTGACTCAGTATATAAATCTATAACTTGATTTAGTCACGAAATGGCTTAAATATTGCTAAAGTGACTTTAAATTTTACCTCACTCACTCACTAACCCAGGACATTACACCCCTCGATAGAGCCACACCCAGCTTGGCTACTTGCCAAAAGATACCCCTTCTTCAAACAACAATGCCGCTTCATAGTGCAAATGTGTGCTCTCTGGCGACCTTGCCGTGTGTATGGACCTTGTGATAAATGTAGAACGAACTGTGCAGACCCCCTGATCCATGTCCTAACATCATGTGAAGCCTGTGCTTGCTGCAGAGGCCAACTCTGGTGAGACTTTATCAATGTGGGCCCAGTGGAGCTGAGCGTGGAACTACACAAGACTGATATGGACCTGGTGGGCAGCCTACTTTCCTGCCGTCCCCCAGTACTGCTCTCTGACGAGGAGACTGAGCTGTACACACTGACTGTTGTTAACGGACTCTACGCGACCTGTAATGCATGGAAACTTTACGCGTCTCTCTTCTAAACTTAACAATATGTTAAACTTATCTCGCACTCTCATGTACCCCCTAAGGGATGAATAAACATGTATACATCTCCATCACTTCCCGAACCAACAGAGCGTAAGGTTCACGACGTTCGCGAGGCAGATTGTGCAGTGTACTCGACCCAATTATAAACTCTGAGCATCGCATATTAGACACATCTGAGCGGAGCTGTCTCAGGTAACACAACAGGAATGAGGAGTCTATCTTGAGACTGGAAAATACAGGTATGTGGCAGTATACGCTTAGTTTCGTCAATGCTTGATGGATACATTTAAGCTATGTCAAATATAAATATGTCAAATGAATGTTCATAATATCCTCAGAAGATGAGTTGCAGTATTGTATGACACATGATACTTCAATGTAACTGTTAAAATAGCAAACTGTGTCTTTTGTGTTCGTTCATTGGTTCTTGATAGACATTGACGACAAAAGAAGACTTAGCTATATCTATCTCCCCACATGAGAATCTTGGGAAAGTCATATTAACAACGCCATACTATTGTATCGAATGCTCACTGTGATCCCACTGTTATGGGCACAGCTTATTTCACTTCCTCGTTGCAGCCATCACTTATGCCTCGGAGGGTTAGAATATTCCCTCGGCTATGTGTGACTAACAAACAACATATAGAATTGTGCAATAGTAACAGCCTGGATCCCAGGGTGTGCTGCTCTTCTGCTTCACTGCATCCGACAGGGACTACACAATCGTGAACTCAAGGCCATATATTTATTGTAGAACAGTCCAAGAACACGGATGGTGAGATCATTCTCAGCACTTTCAGCGATATAGCAAAGAATAACTCTTTACTTTTAGAGAAGAAAAACGTTACTAATACGAAATATGAACTCACATATTGGTGCTCAAAATGGGGTCATTGTTTCCATTTTCAAAAATTTCAGGTGCACAATTGACTAGACTTAGCATATGTTTCATACGGGAACCACCGGTGGAGCAGGATACGCTCACCTTTTCGCAAACACCTGGTATCATCACCTGATTAATAAACACATGTACTGTCATCGTATCGCATGGTGACAATCACTGTATTGTCTGGTCCAGACACGATTTGATTACAAACAACATCATACAGCTGTAATGCTGCTGAGGCAAATATCTGCTCACCATATAGTCACAATTGTACAATCGACTCTGCCTTTAACAGAGATTTCTTATGAATATGGAAAGAGTTTTATCGCTTCTATTCCCATGTAACGACGACTTTCGTGTCTCCAAGCTACTTAAATAACGTTTTCAATATCTACGGTTAATGAGGCATATTTACTAAACACATTTATGTTGACAGGAATGATGTCAGTCACGATCTACAGTTTGGTTTGGATTGTTATTCCGAATCTGATGACATCACTGGGTCACCCACAACATTCCGATATTGAGAAATGCAACATTCACCACGAAGCCAATGAAACAACAGTGGACTGTTCACGTCGTGGTTTCAACCGAGTCCCACAAGGAGTTCCACGAAACACAACAGTCCTTAACCTGAGTACCAACAACTTACCAAGCCTCAAGAAAGGATCACTCCCCAGCCTTCCTTCATTACATACACTGCTCGTGAATGATAACAACATAGAGTTTCTTGAGGAAGGTGCTCTGCAAAGCCTACCTGCCCTTCAAAAACTAAACTTGGATGGGAATATATTGAACTTTTCTTATTTCTCTCTTCCTCTTGGGACATTCCAAAACCTGACATCTCTGACAACACTCCATGTGAGCAGAATGAAGATGCGGTTTACTTCATTGACATATCCCGATGCTACATTTGCTGATCTTCACCACCTCGAGTCACTGATCATTGACGGGGCTGGAGAACCGGTGTTTGGACCTGGCTTTGCACAGATGAGGAGGCTGAAGAGTCTGAGTTTTGGATCACAATGCCTTATCAGACGTTTGGGAAAAAACTCATTTGTCAACTTCAGGGAAGCACCTGTCAGGGATCTGTCATTGTCAGCATGTAGCATTCTTATTTTTCTGGACGCCAATGTCTTCTTTCCTCTTCATAAACTGAAGTTTCTGCTTGCAAGAGAAACTGCTCCCTTTGGCCTGGATGAGTCTTTACTAAGCTTAAAAGGACTCAGTGGAAGGAACATGACCGAAATAGACTTTTCACTTGTGCGTACATATCCTGTCTCTGTTCAAGGTGTTATGAAGAACCAAAGTCTCGTGCTCACGTCTGAGATGACACGTTACCTTAAGACTATGTGTGTTGAGCGACTGATTCTAAGGAATAATTACATCGTGGTCATTGAAAGTAGCGTGTTATTGCAGGAACCGTTTCAAAGTTGTATAAAATATATTGACATCAGCTACAATTCTATAAAAGGTGACCCCAGCTGGTTGTTCCGTCTCCCTGAACTTGTTAACCTAGCTGTACTGGATGTGTCAAATCAGGCATATATACTTGATGCTGGTGATGGACAATATCAGCATTCCAAAGACATACCAAAACTAACCTTTTTTGGAAACATGACACTTTTTCTTCCTCCATCTTTGGAAAAACTTTTATTAAGTGGTTCAGGAGCACATGGAAGATCATTAGAGGGAACTAACATGTGCTTTCTTGGAGGTAATAACTTGTGGTATTTGGACCTTTCCTATTCTGCCATAATAACAAAGACTTCACGTGTCTTTGGCTTGGAGCATGTAAAATATCTTGATTTCTCAGGGAATTTCTTTAAGAAAATACCGTTGACATTTTTTCAGTCATTCCCAATCGTCATGACATTGTATCTGAAAAATGTTCATTTTGATACTGATTTGATGTCTAACATGAGTTCACAAACATTGTTCAGTCCTCTCAAAAACGTCCACCTTTTAGATGTATCCCATAACATTCTACATAAAATGTATGCTCACATATTCGGAAATCTAAAGACCTTAAAATATTTGAACTTAAGCAATAATATGTTTGAGGACGTTCCTATTAAATTGTCTGGAATGTTGAGCATCTCTCAAATTGATCTTTCTTTTAATTCTATCAGTTTTCTGAGCGTCAACACCAGAACAATGTTAGATCAAAGGGTTCTTGTTTCCCAACCCATTTCACTTGACCTCCATGGGAACATCCTGTCTTGTGGATGTGGAACCCTAGACTTTCTGACATGGATAATTGACACAGATGTCCAGTTTCGACACTTCGATTCATACAGCTGTATCAACACTGAGGGTCAGCTCATTCAACTTTCAAATATTACCAGTTCCTTTAGGAGACACTGGAGATCTTGCTATGGTAGATTTTGGCTCGCCTTTTCAGTTTGTCTGATGTGTGTACTGATTTCTTGTCTTGTCGTTTGTCATTTGGTGTTAAAAAACACCATCTCTTTAAAATACTGGATATTGAGGTTGATAGGGTTTGATCATTTTGTACCACAAAGACAAGATTTTAAGTATGACATATTTATTTATTATTCTCAACATGATGATTATCAGTGGGTGTGTACCACGTTTCTACAGAAGGTGGAGGTACAGAGAGGTCTGCGACTTTGTATTCCAGACAGGGACTTCGATGTGGGCGTTTGTGCAGCTGAAGAAATTATCAATTGTATTCACAACAGCTGGAAGACTGTCCTGTATGTAACAGAGACCTTTCTTCAGGACGAGATGTGTTCCTTTACACTGTCATCTGGGGTCTATGCATGCAACAATAACATGCCCAAGAGACTAATGCTTCTATATTCCGACACCATCTTGCATCACCCTCTGCCACCATTACTCACTCAGCTTCTGGATGGAGCTAATGTGTTTGTTCTGGAAGAGCTGGAAGAAAAAAGAGCCTGGCAACAGTTCTTCGAACTTGTTTTGAAGTGGATCTGAACATACGTTTTAGATATTTCTTCATTATTGAGTGTGATGTCTGATATGAATATTAAAAAAAAGTGTTGGTGAGATCGGAATTATTACCCACAATGAAACAATCGAATGTCAAGGTGAAGGTCATCTGTTCTAAATGCCTTGTATGACCCCAGGAGTGCCAAGAACTACTGGCACCATCAATCCATAGACTGACTGACTGACTGAGTATGGTTTTACGCCGCTTTTGGCAATCTTCCTGCAATATCACGACGGAGGACACCAGAAATGGGCTTCACGGTGAGAAACAAAGAAAACGTATGTTGCACGTTCATTACATGTTGGTGGGTTTTCCCGTCACACCTTTTGTCTTTTACGGTAATTTTGGGTTGTATTTTATTTTACCCGCACAAATCACCCCCCGATGTATGCAGTCATGTTCAATTCCTATTTTCTATTCATTTTGTGTCAATAGCAGCAAACCTCCGTGAGATATTTCCTCATTTTGGGTTGCTTTAAGAGCATATTTGTCTTACGGTCCAGTCGTTATTTTTACTAGAAATGTATTGCATGAGCGTCAGGGCGCCAGTCACATACCAAAGGGGACATCATAAGAATGGATAAGGATAAGCAAAAGGAACACAACAAAGTTGTGACACCCAATTTCGTCATTAATATACTTCATGAAAAACACTCAGTCATGCCTAATTTGTTGTATTTCAAGACAAGATGAGGCAAGTTAACGACGCTACAGTGTTAGTTTATATTCTTGGACAGCTTCGTTATGATAAAATATGACGAGTATGAACTTCCCAGATGTATCCCTGGTGATGAAGGGTTCACTGTCAGGCAAATGTTGATCTTAACCATTGCAGGAGATTCTTCTCCCGAAGCAGTATGACTGAGGCACATTGGTGAGTGAGTGAGTTAACATTTAATGTCACATCGGCAATATTTCAGCCATATCGTGACGAGAACATACTTGACATTGAAATGGAATATATGTATATTATAAAAACCTGTCGACGAAGGACAGTAAACCAACTAGAATATTTTAATTACAACTAAAACTAGTGTAGAAAGTTAAAACTGATATCACTATTTGGACAATACAATATAAAAACAGGCTATAGATCGCCAACAACTGCCATTATAATGACAGTGAACCACATAATATACCAGATAGTATTGCAGACATAGACTATCCTATTTCATCATCAGAGAAGTATTCTCGGCAGTGAAACAGTTTAAAACAAATAAAGCTCCAGGACCTGATGGAATAGTTATTGAAATGATTTTATCTGGACTCAACTGCCTTTAACCATATTTGGTTATTATATTTAATTATGTATTAGAGTCAGGTAGATATCCACAATCATGGTGTGATGCTATCATTCATCCTCTACATAAGAGTGGTAACACTTCAGACCCTAATAATGTCAGGGGAATATGCCTTTTGAATATAATTGGTAAAATTTTTACCAAATTACTTAACAAAAGAATTGTAGCTTGGGCAGAGGATCAAAGTAAACTTTTTGAGGAGCAAGCTGGATACAGGGGAGGCTCTAGTACAGTAGATAATATATTTATTCTTCAATCAGTTATACAGAAATATTTATCAAAGGAAAAGGGTCACATGTATGTAATATTTGTAGACTTTTCCAAGGCTTTCGACTCTGTGCAGCACTTATTATTATTTTATGTCTTGTTAAAAAATGGTGGTGGTAAAGTTTATGATGTCCTAAAGGCAATGTATTCACAATTACGATCTTGTGTAAATACTAGTTTTGGTTTGAGTGAATATTTTGACTGTAATGTCGGTACGAGACAAGGTTGTATGGTCAGCCCAATACTGTTTATTTTGTTTTTAAATGAGTTTATCGATATGATACAGCAGTCAGACTGTAGAGGTATTTATGTTGGTAATCTTCTAGAACATTTCACAACATTGATATTTGCTGATGACATGGTAAATGCGGCGGATAGTGTATTTAGATTGCAACAGCAGATAGATATTTTATGTACATTCTTGCAATAACTACGGTATGAAGGTAAACATGCAAAAAACCAAAAATTTGGTTTTTAGAAGAGGTTGGATAATAAAATCATCAGAAAAATGGAATAATGAAGGGCACGTTTTAGAATCAGTTTCTAATTATAAATATGTAGGTTGGGGAAAAGCCTGTCAACATTTATCTCAACAAGCAAAGAAGGGAACCTTTTCTCTTTTAAAGTTTATTAAGCGTTATAACATCAACACTTCCAAATCATTGTTTTTATTTGATAGAATGATTTTACCAATCCTCGTATACGGCTCTGAAATTTGGGGATATCAAAATATGTCATGTATTGAAAGTATTCAACTTTATTTTTGCAAACAATTACTTGGTCTTTCAAGTAATACTAGTAATGCCGCAGTACTTGGTGAGTTAGGAAGGTATCCATTATATGTAACGTATGTAACAAAATGTATTAAATACTGGTTGAAAGTATTGTCTATGCCAGATTGTAGATATCCGCTTATTTGTTATAAAATTATGTACTTTCTTGATAATGTTGGTAGACAAACATGGGTTGGATTTGTTAGAGACATTTTGTTTAAGTGTGGTTTTGGTTTTGCTTGGCTAAATCAAGGTGTTGGAAATGCGCATATGTTATTAAATTCTTTTGTACAAAGACTCAAAGATGTCTCTTTTCAAAAATGGCTATGTAATATAAATGCAAATGTTAAATTAAGTTTCTATGAAAAAATTAAGTTCTCACTTCAACCTGAACCATATTTGATTAACATAAACACACAACTTTTTAAAAGGTTTTTGACCAAATTTCGCTGTGGGAACCATTATTTACGTATTGAGTCAGGACTTTGGGAAAGTATTTCAGTTGAAAATAGAGTGTGTTTACATTGTGAAAAGATTTATTCAATAAGATTGCTTGAGGATGAAGAACATTTTCTTTTAATTTGTCCATTGTATGAAAACTTAAGAAATGAATACAAGCATATTGCAAAATATTATTATAATCTTACTAATAGTATGTCATCTTGTAACAAGCAGCACGTCTGGAAGTTAGGAGCTTTTATATTTTACAGCTTTAAATTAAAACAAAACTGGATTGAAATCAATTGTAAATTATTTCAATGTATCATGTAAGCATATTTAAATGATGTTGGTAAATCAATCAAATATTGTCACATGTCATAATTTATATAATGAGGTACTCTGTCAAGTATATTAAAGGACTATGTATGTGAATTATGGGCCGGATGGCCTACATTTCTGAAATAAAATCAATCAAAATGAAGATCGCCAACAACAGAAGGTAGATCACCATACAAGGGACCATGGGTGAAGCATATTAGTAACCGTGTTAGCAGACATTTGAATTTGTGTATATTGTAAATTCTGAATAAATATACTTGTTGAAATAACCTATTTTAGTGCTGTTTATGTTGTTGTGTGTATATGTTTTACTTCTGTATCTAGTTCTACTGTTTTATACTGCATGTGTGATTTTTTAGATCCATGCATTTCGTGAATGCAAGTATACAGCTTGGACATTGATGATGTGATTCACATATCAACAAAAGGCATAAGTTTGCCACAAGACATATATCTAAAGTAAGCATTAACAGGAAGCATTCATTGATTTAAGACTGCTATAGAAACGGGGCAGCACTCGTGAAGAGCAACCTCCTCGAGTTGAGTGCTGGGTAATGCTAATAGCTCTTCCCCTGTGTGGACCCGGGGTAGAATGTGTCCACACTACCCCATTGCTGGTCGTAAAAGGCGACCAAATTTGGCAACCTGGGGCCGTATTTATCAAACAACTAAGTTTTGACTTAAGAAAAAAACTTAAGTTTCTTAAAACTGACTTAGCCAAGTCAAAAACTTAAGTTGGTATTCACAAACGGGCTAAGTCTGAAACTTAGCTAAGTCCGCCGACAAAAACTAAGTCCATTACGCCGAACGCGATCACGTGATCACTAGGGACTATCCCGGTTATTTTTAGCCTACCAGTGGAACTCTTTTTACTGAGAGACATAAAAACATCCTCGGGGGGAAATTCCCGGACAGCGCAAACGATACACGAACAGCATCGAATGGATACTATGGCGGATGAAATGAAGAAGAGGCGGCCTAATTTCACAAAAGAGGAGTGTCTGTTGCTAGCGGAGCTAGTTGCGGCCAACAGAGTGGTGCTTGAGGGCAAGTTTGGGCCTGGCATCACCTCCGTGAAACGACAGGAGGCGTGGCAGGTACGTGTTCGAAGCTCCGCGATAGATCTAGTGGCTGTTCTGACGATGGATTCGTTTCACATTACCTGACTGATATAATCACACATTTACATACCCATGTAGTGGTCAATTGTTGTTTTGTTGGGTATTAATTCCCTAGGACTTTCGGTACAAATTGCAAAACCACATACGTCATTTTACTGACATACTGAAATTACGGCAATATTAGGAAAGAATTAAATATTTTGAAAATGAATACTGCAGTACACATCTCGTTTTTCTTTATATTATTGTCTAAATAAGAGCACAAATGCACTTGATAACTAGTTCACGTGTAAAAAGTCAAGTTTTTATGCACTGATTAAATATCTAGATGTAAATTGATGGGATTTTTCCCCATTTGATGTATTCTGTTTACATTGTAGATGATTACAGACACCCTCAATTCAAGCATCACCCACAAGAGGACCAGGGATGAGGTGGAAAAAAATGGAAGAACTTGAAGAGTTCCTCCAAGAAGACCTATTCAAGTTCAGGCAGCAAACCATTGCCACTGGTAAGCATGTTTATGGTTACAGTATTATTATTAGTTATCAAAATATAAGTGTCATAAAAGGTTACATAAATGATGTGATAAATGTCAGAAAGTGGGAAAAGAGTTTCACTCACAATATTTCCAGACCTACATTGTAAGTTCTTGTATATACTGAATATTTTCTACCAACATAAACCTATAATTACACAATGCCATTAAGAAAGTGGTCAAATGTAACATATGTTACACTTTCATAGTATTAAAGTGAAGTACAGATTCTAGTACTTCTGTTGGCTGGAATCCCATCCGGGACTTGAACCCATTCCCACAGAGTCAGGCACCTATCGCCAGCTGAGCGGGTTAGGCGGCTGACTTTTGTGTGCTAACGTTTAGGTGCCTGACTCTGAGGGCATGGGTTCGATTCCCGGATGGAACTCCAGCCAACAAAAGTACTAGAATCTGTACTTTTACTAAAAGTGTAATGCCAAATATAACATGTTACAACATAAACCTACTCTATTCCAGTGTTTCATCGTAAAGTGAGTACTTACCTCCTGGGTTTGTGATATATTTCTACATAAGGCCAGACCAATTTTATTTCTGGTTTTACAGATCTGCCTGTCGTATTTTTTCAAGAATAAGAAAAGAAATAAAAATTAATTTTCCCCGCTCAAAAACTAAAATCCTAATGTTTTTATCGGCCAAATATATAAACTTACAAGAAAATTTGTTTAGGTTGACTTTTGCCCCATATACACTTAAAAAATTGCCAAAAGTATGATACTTTGAGTATTTAGAAGGAATATTACTTTGACTGGTGATTTATTTATTTTTTTACCTCCTGCCTTTGGGTTTTCTGAGGACAAAAATCTGTGAAACAAGAAATAAGTTTGGTCTGACCTAAGATAATCATATTTAAGCAATTAATCTACTTTTTTTTGCATTTACAGGAGGCGGACCACCTCCAACTCCTGTCAGTCCGGTCACAGATGCAGTTGTTGAGGCCATTGGAAGGGACAACTTAAGTCTTACGGGTATCTCAGACTCGTGTGATTCCACTGCCCTGCAACTGCTTGATGCCATCACTTCAAGAGAAAGGTACATGCCATATCCATTTTGATATTAATCCGTTTTATACAACACTAAAACCACTGCAATATTTTTTGTCAGGTTTCTCTAACAGCTGAGTCATTGATACCTTAGGCTAGGATTCATCTTGAACATCTGTGAAATGATGCAGCCGTAACATATACTTTTTTCAATAGTATGTCTGTGAGATGAGTTTTACTACTTTTGACTGGAGTCTTTCTCTAACTGATACATGATGAATCTAATATTCTATATTTATATTTTCCTTATATATCCCCTTGTAGTGGTTATAATTAATAATGAATTTTCATATGAATTATTATTCCATGACAGAAGGTTCAGCTATCTGAAAATACTGAACTTACTCAGGCCTCCACTGTTGTTAAGCAGACAACACTCGACATTTGTCACTTAGTACTTCATCAGTTCATCTTGCCCTGCATGAATTACATGAAGTCCTACAGTTTGGGGAAATTATAATTTACATTCTTTCCCAATCTGCCTGTCAGGATCACTTGGTTTGAAATGACTGACATGACACTGTTTGAACATAAAACACAAGGCTCGGGATATGGAAATATTATGAACATGTATTTCATTCTCTTATATATTTTACAAATCATGATTTTGTTGTAGCCCTATCATGGTCGGTGACGAGGTCCAGGACATGGTGAACATTTACCACCTGCCAGAGAAGACAGCCTGTCAGTGCCAGCATCAGCCTTCTGTGGAGGCACTACAGAAAGAAAAACTGGAATTAGAGATTGAATGTTTGAAATTAAAAAGAGAGTATCTTAAGAGAAGAATTAATAAACTAGAAGAATAGATTGTACAGGCACTAATGACAGTATAGGGTATATACATTGTACTTATTGGGGACCTTTCAAAATTTAATGGTGTGTGTGTGTGTGTGTGTGTGTGTGTGTGTGTGTGTGTGTGTGTGTGTGTGTGTGTGTGTGTGTGTCTGTGTGTGTCTGTGTGTGTTGATGATTTTAAGGAGTGGTCACCCCTTTTGTTCTGTGGAGGTAGGGGGGCTGTCAGTAACTGCTCAGATGTACTAGGGGTCAGAAATTTTGTAAATAGTGAATATTAATTAATTTATGTTAAAAGACGTGAGTGGGTAAATGACCTTGTGCATGACATGGTAGGGGGTGGCAAGTACTTTGTACTTAAATTTTAGGGGCGTCATTCACATTGTACATGCTTCTCCATGACAATCATCATTTCTTCCTCCCCCTAGAGACATAAATTATGAACGGTCCCTTAGAGGTCTTGCATTTAGGAATATGAAATTAATAATCAATGCATTTCTATGACTTTCATGAGAGACTTTGGAAATACGTACATTAAAAGAAGCTGATCGCAAATTGTTCCCTGTATCTGGCTCCTGATGCTGTAGGAGCAATGGCTGGCAAACCTTGCATCTGTGCCCTCAGCTGTCCAGGTTGACCGCTGCTCCCACTTGGACCTGGCATTGGGACATTCCTGTCCTTGCTGATATTGTGCAGCACTGCACAAGCAATTATTACCTAGGGACATATTAAAAACATAGTCAAGACACAACAAATGGTCAAGAAATTTCTGTCAATTTAATTAAAAGTAGGATGTAGAGGACTTATTGTATTTGACCAAGAAATATTTAGTTTTGATACTCTATTTTAATTGATGTTCATTTCTTATCAAATAATAGCTTAATGTAATGTTAGTGAGAAAATCTCCCATGGAACTGATTTTAGTTGAATACCTAACCACTAATATTCAGCAATTAATGTGGCCTTCATCTAAAAAAATGTTATTTTGTCATAACCAATGTTTCTAGAATCATTATCTTTCCATGAATGCATTTCACATCTAATAATTTCTTGGTAAAATCCCTACCCTTACTAATCTGACACTAAGAGTATTTGATCCTGGCAATGTTTATGCTTTAATTTAGTAGCTATGCAGAAAATGCCACGATTCAGATATTTGAATATATATCTTTTTCATTTCACAAAACATTTCACGTAAAATGTTCCTCTCTAAGGGTTCATAAACCTAGGATCACTGTATAAGTATACTCATATTTGATTGTCTAAACATCTTAAATATGATTCTTTTTAAATATGATTATTGAGATAACTAATTTTTATTACAGTTGAACTTTAGATTACAATAATTATCTGTCAATATTGAGTGAGGTGCTATTGACAGTAAGATCACATATATCTGACTTGTCCACCTTGTTTATGTTAGGACGGACTGAAAAAAGTGTAGACATTTTTACATTCTTGTTTGAGATTTGTTAATGTATTCATTAAATAAAAGTTATTGTTTATCTTATTAATTGTGTTGGTTTCTTTATCTACCTGATGCATATTAGGTCCTTAGGGTATTATTGGGGGACATATATGTGTTAAAATTATGATTTAACTTCAACTTCAATGGAGTCCACAGAAAAACATTCTGATAATGCTATACCTTGCACGCCTTCTGTGGGGAAAGTCTGATTTCTCCATGTAGTACATGAAACCGCCGCTTCAGTTGTCCAATACCTCTTTCCACACAGTTTCTGGGTTTTTTATGTGATCTGAAAATTTGCAATAAATACAACTGGAATCACTAGATGATCATATAATATTTATGGGTGGTATTAAATCAAAATGGAGATATCATTATACACTTTACTTGCCCACACGTATTGTTTCATTGATAAGTCACCAAAGATGCATTTACAACAAAAGAAGTAGACATTATGATTGTACGACATGTTGCCCGAATAATGCATTTAGCAAAGATATGTAAGTCTTCCATTTCGTTTTTATGTTGAAGATTGTATTTCACATAACCAAGGGAAATCACTCTATTGGTTAGTACTCGAAGCTGACTCGAAGAAATAGCAATTATACCTGTTGTAGTTTGTCTGTGATCCAGGAAGGGGACGCAAAAATGGTGTTAAAATCCACCTCCGACATGGGTAGCCGCTGTCGCCAAGCAGATGACAACTTACGGGTAACTGGTTCCCCTCAAACATCCGACATAACCCGCTTGTTGTCAAGATGCGGGAGTCATGTGTTGAGCCAGGCCAACGTGCTACGATGTCGACGATTCGGTCGTCGCTGTCAATCACTATCTGTGTATTAATACTGTGGTAGTGATGCCTGTTAATGAATTCATTCTCATTCACGGATGGGGCCTGAATTTGAACGTGAGTGCCATCAATGACACCTACTACACCGGGGAAGTTTGCAGTCTGATAAAATCGACGCTGGTGTCGTCTTATATCTTGGGCTTGCGTGGGAAAGGTGACAAATCTACGGACCATACGCTGACTTGTGAGTGATTGAAGCGTTTGTTCGATGACTCTTGAGATGGTGGGTTGGCTCAGTCCATGGTCATCGCCATTGCACATCTGAAATTTGCCAGTGGCAAGATAACGCAAAGTGACGAGCACTTTGGTAACGCAGGACACTGCACAACTCCGATGCGTTACGGGACTTAGATCGTGTTCTAGTAAATCACAGATGTAAACAATACTGTTTCTGTCAAATCTGTACCTTTGTAACAGCTCATTATCATCTAATGTATGCAGAACTTCTCTTCTTTCATTAAATACTCTTGGAATACGTGTGACAGCCATTTTGTTTCATATGACTTAAGTCAAAAAGAGTTGATTTAAGCCTACCAAGATGAGTCTTAATAGTTAAGTCAAAAAATGACAAAACTTAAGTCTAAGTCTGTTGATAAATATGACTTAAGTTTTACTACAAAACTTAAGTGGAAAAAACGTGAAAACTAAGTTTTTTAACTGACTTAAGTTTTTTTAATGACTTAAGTTGTTTGATAAATACGGCCCCTGGTAAACAAATGCACCTTTTC